CGTCTTCAAAGTGTCAAGGTTACACTCCCGCCTTAAAAATACCCAACTTTGTACCTGTCACCAAATCTCCGTAAACAAAATATACCTCAAAAATAGATTACTTGTGCAAAAAGAATCCAATGACTACAATATTAACCATGTTAAATGTTATGTTAAATATCTAAAGTATCTGAACTGTATAATGTGTATAGAAGTGTGTGCCACATACATTAACATAGAATATATATACAAAAGAAAAATATGACACATATCTTGATAGACAAAAAAATAACCAAAGAAAATGGACGAGTGTCCATGTGATATCACCATGCATGTCATAACCATGGTGAATAAGAACCCTGGTGGCCAAGCGATGGTTGGCTATAAAGGGGGTTTGTGAGGTAGTGACCAAATGGGGGAAGAATGGAAGAAAGGAAGAAAATAAGAAAAAAGAAGAAAAATTTATGATGTTTCTCATGGAAAAGTTGATGATGTTTCCAAAACCTCTGTGGATCGGTTCTTGACGATATTTCTCAGGTTGCCCAGCTCATCCTAGACCTCCTTAATGCAGTTCTCCTTGTAATGGTTTAGAGGGTTTCATTGAAGAGTAGGCTGAGGAATATGCCTCCTTTCTTCACTAGCTCTGCTGTGGGCCTCATCTTCCTGCTTTGTCTGAGCTCGACAAGAGCAAACATTTTTGTCAAAGTGGCTTCAGCAGTCCTCCTTAGTGACCCCATTAAGAGGTTGTGGAGGAGGAGGATGACTTTTAGGATTTCGAGGTATCTGGGTAGTGAGAAGGGCAATAATTTTTAGGTTTTGCCTGTGGCGTAAAATGATTTGCTGGTTAGTTTTAAGCTCCTCCACAAAGGCAGATTTGCAGCAGGAGCTACTGGTAAAGGTATTCGTTGCTGGTTTTTTGGATTTTGGCTTATAGTTCTCATTAGAAACATCAATCAAACAAAAGTCGAGTAATTTCAGAGCAGAACGATTACAATCATTCCCACAGAAGGAATGGTGCTAGAGATCAAGAACGTGAGTTAAGGGTGTAGAGTGAGNAAGTCGAGTAATTTCAGAGCAGAACGATTACAATCATTCCCACAGAAGGAATGGTGCTAGAGATCAAGAACGTGAGTTAAGGGTGTAGAGTGAGGTCTAATCATGATGAAGAGAGAGTTATGTGTGTGTGTGAAATAACAGTAAACGCGAACACAAGACGATGAGTTGTTCATCAAGTTAAAGAATTATGCTAGTCTACTCTAATAGAAACTTTTGTTCAATTGCAACCTTTTTAATTACAATTTTTGCATTGTTTGGCACAAGGCAAGGGTTTGCCTCTGTATACACTAAGGTAGTGTGGTCATCAAATAATTAATGNTTTTGCATTGTTTGGCACAAGGCAAGGGTTTGCCTCTGTATACACTAAGGTAGTGTGGTCATCAAATAATTAATGATGGGATGGTCTCCTAATTTATTAGAAGAAATATTTAGCCGTTATAAACTATGTTTCTTAGGTATAATATGATATTCTAGAAGCTGATGACTTGACATTCTAGTGATAGATTCTTTGTCCCTTGGGTAAGATCGAATAGCGCAATTCCTCTTTTATTCTTTCTCCCATTATGAGATGAGCTGTTTTTGGTAAATTGAGCACGTTTGATAATGACCGAACTGGTTCAAGCCATAACTAATCTGGATCCTTGTGTAGTAGGTCAGTCAGTCTACTACACAGGTCGACTTGTTTACTTAACGGGTCGTAGATTTATTTTTCACATAGATTTAATCTTGGTATAATCAACATCAAAAATTGACCGGTTGTTAAGCCTTCTTGAGAAGGTGAGTGATGACGGTTTTTTTGATGGAAAATAATAACAAGCCAAAAAGCACCGCCCATTGGCCGACTTGGTTGCATAATTTTTTTGAGAAGAGATCAATCAAACACTACTAAGCGGAAAACCGTATAACGCACACACACATCTTAAGGTTATCCGATGTGGGATAACCCCAGCCCATCTATCCTAAGGTTATCCGACTTGGTTGCATAGTTCAACAAAGCTTCCATTAAAGGAAAAATTCAAAGAGTTTTTTTTGTCTTCAAACCATTATCCATTAGTAATTTATATGTACCCACATTATCCTACTCTGCTTTGTTTATTGAACTGTGGACAGCTTTCTTGTATTTTAATTGCAAAGTATATATGTCTAGTTCATATCCCTGTCTCACTTTATTGATTCTATTTGCTTTTGCTACAAGCAAGAAAGAACTTTTGGAGGGAGGGGGGGGGTGCTTGTCCAATTTATTTTGAATGATGAAAATGTATCCATGTCAACTGATCTTACCTAATTAAAAAAAAAAAAAACGCTTTCAATCTGAAAAAAAACTCTTTCAATCTGAACCATTATCATGGACGGAAAAAAGAATTGAACGATTCTCTAATTACTTTAATATTGGAGATGAGCCTAATTCGAATTAGGGAATTTAAATATAGGGGTAGCCTTTAAAAATTTACTTCAATTTGAAGGGAGCGGGCTGTGAATATATCAGTATTATTTGCATGGGTAAATTATACTTTATCCCCTTGAACTATTATCTTTGTTTGACTTTACACCCTCAATTATAAAATTTCTCACATTGCATTCTAAATTATCAATTTTGTTTCAAATCGCTCAAAGATAACGACAAACTTGAAAATCTTTCAAAAGAGGGAGGGAAACCCCAAAAAACTTCCCGTTAAGTGTCTAGTACCACTTTATTTTACATCTTTTGCAACCAAATAGTTGTTAGGAAGAAAAAGAAGGTCAATCAGAGGAAGAAAATTTAAAACTTAGGAAAAGCAAAGTCATCGATGAGTATTTTTTTTTCCTACTTTTGACATGCACATGTGCAATAAACAGTTGTTTATTGGTATTACGGACTACTCACATGCACATTTACCATAAAAAAAATTAATAGTTGTTATCTATTAGAACAATATGAAATAAAATTGATAATTTAAAGTGCAATGTGAGAAATTTTATAGTTGAGGGTGCACAGTGAAATAAAAGTAATAATTCAAGGGGTAAAGTGTAATTTTTCCTATTCGTATCGTACCTAATGGGACATAATTTGCTGACATAATTCATTTTAGCCTTTGAATTGACTATGAGCCCCATCAAATATCATATGTTGGTGTTGATCCGATAGTTTTAATGAAACCACATCATTAAATCAATAAATTATGTCAAATTTTTTTATTCAAATAACATTACCCTAAGAGCAACCCAACAATACAGTCTTGGAGGCTTGACTTTTAGTGGTTAATATTTTTAAGATTGACTTAACCTTACAAATGACTCGGACACTATGTTATCTTTGTTAATTAAGTTTTTAAACTAATTTTCATATTAATTTAGCCACTCAACTATGAAATTTGACTCGATATGATTTTTCATCTAAATTCGTTGATAACTTTGACATAAAGTCTCGCATGCACACCAGATGAGTCAGAAATTAAGGTAGTTAAGACTATTCACATAATATGCACGTAAATTTTTCAATTGAAGTTAGCGGTAAATTTGAACGAAAAGATCACACTAAGTTAGATTTACATAATTGAGGAACTAAATTGACATAAAAATTAATATATAAACTTGATTGAAATAGATAACATAGTCGGGAGCCATCTGTTTCGTTTACCTCTTGACATTAATTTTAAGGTGAGGTCTTTGCAGACTGCAGCGCGGTTAATCCGGTGTACTTAGTTTTTGGGTAAGTTACATAAACTCCGAGTTTACATATCAATCACGAGTCTAAAATGTGTGGCTAATTAGGACGGCTATTAATTAAAATAAAAAAATTATAGGAGCCCGGGGTGCAAATATATACAAGTCCACCAAAAGCGAGGGACAATGAGGGATGATAAGAAGAGATACTGTAAACACATCAGCATGGAATGATAGTGATAAAACAAAGCTTTCTTACATTCCCCACTCTCTCTCTCTCACCTACTTTTGGGAACCTTGTGCTTGGAGTCCATGCGCTGCAGGTTGAACTTCGTATTATATATGTAATGGTTCAGACTTATTGACTCTCCCGAGTTTGCTCACCCAGCCGAGTTGTTTCACAATGATTCAGTTAAACAATCCTTACTGTTCAATTCAATGTGTAATCAGCCAATATATTATATACCCTTCCTCAACAACTTCATTTTTTGAAACATCAACATCACCATTTCCTTGCCGTCATGGTTAAAAGATTCTCAGTCTAGTCAAATTAGACTAAGAATCTTCTACTTCAATATCCTCAGATTTTGTGCAAACTATGAATTTCATTCATACGACTCCATCGAGTCTTCCAAAAACGGTCGCAAAGTCGAACTCCAAGTAATTTTGATTGATACAGTTTATAACTTAAATCTCTCCTGATGTCATATACAACTCTAACAAAGCCAAGTTGTTTAAAAATGACTCGGTTTAATTCAATGTAATATCAGCCAATATCTCTCTCAACAATAACTTCCCTTTTACAATATCACCATTACCATTTACGGGTCTGACTCGTTTGCTGTTAGCAAAAAACAGCACACTGTGCTGTTAAATGAAACGGCAACGTTTCATTCATTTAAAGTGAAACGATGGCGCTTTGTTCTTATGCACTCTCCACTTCCATCCGGGTCTCAGCAGTCTCCCCTCCTACCTCACTGACTGAGCAATCTACCATCTACTTTTCTTCTTTCTCCTTATAAGGCTTTGCTCCAATTATAATGTCCATCGCCTTCATTCTTTGCAATAAGCTCCTTCAAAACCTTTCCTCTTGTGACAATCATAAGACCTTCGGCACCCACAATTTTGATTTTACCCAAAAATTTGTAGTAAAATTTAACACAGAGAGAGAGGAGAGAGAAAGAGACAAAATCATGGGTCTTGAGTGTCTACAGAGATTGTGCAAGGCAAGGGAGTGCAGAGAAAAAACTTATCTTTTCGATCTAAATTTGTCATTTATTGATATCAAACATACATATAAATTTGAACGAAGGGATAATTTTCACTGACTGCCATACTACAAACAATAAGATCACAAATTTGGATGCAACATGGGTTATCACCGAAATCCAATTCATCAATGTCTGTTAGGCCCTTTCTCCATCTGCTTCAACACCTGAACTTCCTCATTATTGACCATGAAGCTTGATTTTATACCCTATTCCTTTTTGCTTCAATGGGACTCCAAACAAGAAGAAATTGAAACCCCATTTCTACATTGATATTGGTGATTGATAGTTGATACAATCGAGAAACCGAATGAAACGTAGGGAAGGTGGAGGAGGATGAGTTCTCTGGTAGCGACACAACGGAGTAAAAAAAATAATGACCGGTAAACTCACCTGAGACTAAAGGGAAGACCATTTTAGAGAGAGAAGCCTTCATATTTTGGAGAGGGAACCTCCCCTCTGGTCCGCACCTCATAATCTCATTAAAGACTTTCTACACTTATTTTAGGGAATTTGTTTTTCTGTGCAAAACTAACTAAAACGTCGGCGTTTTAATTAACAACATACTGTGCTGTTTTTTCCTCACAGCAGAGGAGCTGCGCCCACCATTTACTTCTTCTGCTGTGGCTGCACAAATTATGGTGGTAGTGGCGGCTGTGGCTTTGGCGGTGATGATGGTGGTTCTGCATCGCTTTGCAGCCCTTTTCCACCACTTTTTCGTTACAAGGCTGTGTAAGAGGTTCATGTTCATCCATATAGGAAATTGAACAGGTTGATCAACTATGCAGTTCTCCATCTCTATGACAACCTTCCCCATTGAGGGACGGTGATCTTCTTCTAAACACACACAACTTGCTGCTATTCTTAGCAGCTGCCTTATCGTCCCTTCCATGTACCTTGGCACTGCAATTCTTTTATCACAAATTTCTTCTACTTGGTCCTCTTCGATCAATGGCAATGCCCATTCCACCATTGCAGCCGGGGCCCTTGAAACATCGATGGCTTTCGTGCTGCTAATGATCTCAAGCAACACCACTCCGAAACTAAACACATCGTTTTTCGTGCTCAGCTTGCTCGGGGTGGTGTAACAAGGGTCCAAGTACCCAATAGTACCAGCTGGTCGGCTCCATGAGTTGACCGGCTGACTCACTGAGTCATGGTCATTCATGTTCAGAGAGAGCCCAAAATCAGCCAACTTGGCATTCCAACTCGAATCAAACAGTATATTTGCAGACTTGATGTCTCTGTGGATGATCATTGGCTTTGATTCGTGAAGAAACTGCACGGCTCTAGCGATTTGGATGGCGATTTGGGCACGCTTAGGCCATGGTGGAGGTTGGGAGGCTACATGAAGAAGGTGATGAAGAGTGCCATTGGGCATGTGTTCCATGACAAGGACTTTGCTCTTGGCAGGTCCATGACTGAGTTGACTCAGCCCAACCAGGTTGATGGTGTATGGGTTGTTTGGAGGTAATTTTGAGAGGATTCTAACTTCATTATTGAGTTTGGAACCGTCTTGAAGCTTTTCAAGGCCCAGTGATTGCTTTTTGATGGCTACAAGTCTACCATCTTTGAGAATGCCTTTGTAGACTTGTCCATGGCCTCCTTTACCAATCATATTAGAGGGAGAGAAGTTCTCAGTCGCTGCCTCGAGTTCTTCGTATTCGAATTCATTCATCATTTTCTTCTTCTCAACAACGGTGCTCTTTTGATCACGACCCCAAGTCAGGCGGGACTACCAGTTGAGTTTAAACATACAAATAAACGGAGAAAAAGAAACTTACAGAAGATTCCTTCTTTTTCTCCCCTCCTCCTTGGGGAAGAGGTGTACTCAAAGAGTGTTTGGCCATGTTTGTGTGGAGAGACAATGCTTTCATTTGAGCTTGGATATTCATGAACAACAAATGTGGAATATGAGAGAGAATAGAACCAGAGAATAGAAATAACTCTAGGTCTGAAGAGATAATTCAAGTGATAATAAAAATGAGTTGTAAATTCAAATTTTTCGAGTTCAACTCGCGATAATTTTTTAAAATCATGTCATGATGAATTTAATTGAGGTATACATAAGTTGACCGGAACACCGTAACCATTACTACTAATTTAGGGGACATTAAAAAGAAGAAAAAAGAATTAAAAAAAAAGTAATTAAGATTAAAATGAAAGGGAAAAAGGTGAGAGAATGGGGAAGGATATTTTTGGAAAAAAGCAAGAGGTGACTGATTAGGCATGAGATGCCCTAATAGCTGTATGTATCTAGGACCCTCCTGCTTTTTTTCCCACTTTTTCTTGACACCAGCATGGGTGGCAATAGAATTTTGGGATGCAGAAAGAGCATTAGTTTATTTAGAAATATATGACTTTTTTTTTTAAAGTCGTGCACTAATACAAGAGAAGAGATGACCAAGTTTATATTTACGATGTTAAGGTACAACAATATGACAGTGATCATTAAGTCAATCGCTAACGTTAAAAACATATGATATTAAAGTGGCAAATATGTGAACAGCCTTTGATAAGGGACTGTCATAAAAAACTTATCTCTTTTACAAGTATATCATGGGAGATTACGTGAAGGGGTCCCAGAATTAATATATCTTTTGTTAACACTTTTTTGAATTAAAATATGAATTTTGTTAAAAAAGCGAAAGCATGTTTAATTATTATTTTTTAAAAAAAAAATATCTACATACCTTCGAGTATCATATACTAAATCAAGATGAATGTAAGTATTACAAAAATAAAAAATTATTCAAAAAAATAATAAATTAATCACAAAAATTATAAAAATACACGTTAAAATAATAAAAGTTAGATGTACGTACCGAAGTCAAGTCTTTGAGTTGAACATGTACTGCCTCCTTTTGTGGTGTTGCGACACGATGGCCAGCTTAAAGCCTTAGTACCTCCACTTCTAAAAGTTTTTTTTGTGTTCAAAAACTTTCTGGAGGTACTAAGGCTTTAATCTGGCCATCGTGTAGCCACAAAGAGATGTAGAGTCACCTAAAAAGCTGCCAAATTGTATTAGGTAATGCTCTCGTACCCCCCAAAAAAAAAAAAACAAATCGTACTGTATCATACCCCAAAAAAATATAAATAATATTATATCAAAAATTACTACTTGTAATGATTAAATTATATTTTTTTATACATAAAATTACAATTCTTTGAGAAAACTCATAATCGATTTGATTTATGAATTGCAACTATCACATAATCAATCCCAACATTTTGAGATCGATCATATCTGTTGATGATGTTCTTAACACGTTTGAGCAGTGATGTGAATATAAAGTGTATTGAACAGTTGGATTAAGTTCAGTCTGAGCTTCAATGCTCTAGCGAATAGAGTTTGGGGATAAGTGGATGATTGCGCAGAGTGTTTATAACGGTTCACTAGCTTGGGAGCTCAGTTAATCCACTCTCAAAAAAGTTTTTTGCTCCTAAATTTTTTGATTACTATGTGAAGCTCACAAAGAATGTTTTTGTAAGGCTACAATGACTTCTTCTCTACTTTCAAGGGCTTTGTCTCCTATTTATATCTATTCATGAGGCTTGTTTAATCAGAGACGAGATCCTCGCTCCTCCCTTGTAACAATCGCCCTTATTTCACAGCGAGACTTGCGCTTGTTGGGTGATTGATGCCATAAAAAGGGGGATACGATAGGCGTCCAGTTGTACTATGCACAACCTTCCTTGAGATATGGACATAGGGAGTTGAGGTTTGAGGTCGAGGTCTATAAATAATATCGATGAGTTGAGTTCCCGACTTGAGTAGCATGACCTGGGTTACCGAGCTCATCCTTGAGTATTTTATGATACCATCATCTATGAAAGAAGAGAATAACAAATGTATTTTGCTTTGGTGTGTCTTACCATATACATGAGGAGGTTGATTTATATTACAAGAGAATAGTAAGGTTTCTTAGTCTAACCTGTGTGAGACAAACATATAAACATTGACATCCCCCTCAAACTTAAGTTGTGATCGAAAATGCCAACTAGAGTTTGCAAATCAAATCACGGTGGTGGTAAGGTGGATGAGCTTTCGTGAAAATATCAGCTTTCGTGAAAATATCAGTCAATTGATCAACTAAGGCAATAAAAAAAATGAAGAGTATCCTCCTATAGATGATGACCCACANATATCAGTCAATTGATCAACTAAGGCAATAAAAAAAATGAAGAGTATCCTCCTATAGATGATGACCCACAAAATGACAATTGATCTTGATTCGTTTTGTACACTCATAAAAGACATCATTGTGAGCAATAGCGCTATGGTTATCACAATAAAGATCAAAGGGTCGTCGGAAGATGGTTAAGACGTTGCTGGAGGATGGTAGGTGGAGATCAGAACGTCACCGGAAGAAGAGCAAGGCAAATTAACACATCATTGGAGGATAGCCAAAATAGATTAGAACGTTGCCAGAAGATAGCTAGGGAAAATCAGAACGTGGCTGGAAAATGGACGAAGCAAATCGAAACATCTCCAGAAGAAGACCGAGGGATCATCTAGAAAGTGAATCGTTTTGAATATATTCAGACAAAAAGATGACAGATGTTATGGGTAGCATTTTTTTTCCCGAATTTTGTTCACATCTTAGATCTATGAATTTATCCATCTTCCAGGCATGTCATCAGAGAATAGTCGAAACATTGTCGAATGATGGCAGGGGCAAATCAGAATGTTGCTGGAGTATGGCTGAAATAGATCGGAATGTTGCCAGAAGATGGGCAGAGGAGATCAGAATGATGCCAAAGGATAGGAAGGACAAATCTAAATGTCAGCAATGGATGGTCGAAACAGATTGAAATGTCGGCGAAGCAAGTCAGAACTTTACTAGTAGATGGCTAGAGTAAGTCAGAACCCTTACCCAAAAATGGCTGAAGCATGTCGTAACATAGCCCAAAACTGGCCGAATCAGATCAGAACATTGCCAGAAGAGGACCGAGGCTGATCGACACGTCAACACAACAACCTTCCTATACATACTCTATTTTGTTGTGCATACATTTTTGTACACATATTATATAGCATATAACACTTGTGTACTTGCCTTAGATGACTAGAGAGAGACTTATGATGGGGTAATTTTTATTTCAATACAATTAAAAAATCATATATATCCCCAAAATATTTATCATTACAGTGAATAGAGCAACATAATGAAAAATTTAATCATCTAAATACAAAAAATCACCATTTGGCAAGACATTTCCAACAATCTGAAACTTCCAAATTTCTTATTTCTCTACCTCAGGGGAGGTGTATGGGGGAGACTCACACATTTGTGTGTACTTTTGATGGGGATTGTGTATGAATTGGATAGATATTGTAGATTAATTATGATAGTTATTTAAATACTTTTAATATTTATCGTTTAAGTAATTTTCTTTAACTTTTAAGAATTTAGTTGTCATTATAACTATTTATATGTTTTAGAGTTCTTTTTGGATGTGTGGTCTCCCTATAAATCTTTTTGTTTATATTCTTTATTCTTTGGATTTTATGAACATATTATTTTTTTTAGTTAAAGTATTATATTTTATAATTTTTTTATTTTTTTATTATACGACCGGTCCAACCAGTTGAACCAGTGAACCATTGACCTAATCTCTCTGCTAGTTTAATGTCCAATCCAGTTCTAATGACACTGGATTAAACCCTATAACCCAGCACCCAATGCCCCAACTCTTTGACCTATGCTAAGTCTAACCCTAGGTTTAAACCACCGTCAATCACTAGCCACAGCCACCAACCACCAACCACCGACTACCAAACAAAAAGAAAGATAGAGAATCTATGTTACAAAGAGGGATAACCCCTACTCCCATCCCCATGTCGCAGATCTCTTTCTCTCTAGACTCAATTGACATCCTCAAGCCACAACCTTTCTACATTTAAAATCTAGTGATACATCAAGGATTCTAACGATCAGCTATTTGTGATGAATCACTCTCAACGTTGGTGGATTTGGGTTGGTGTTGGTCGGGTTTGTGGTAGTTGTATGTATGTGTGAGCTCGAAGAAAAGGGCACGTAGTTCTGTGTAGGGCCAACCCAAACCATAAGCCACTAAAACGCTAGCTTAGGACCCCAAAAAATAGGCACCTCCAAATACATACATCACTTTTATACTATTTTTCAAATGTGAGTCAAATTCATTTAATAATAAAATGCCCATATTAACTGTTTATCCTCCACCAGCAACTCTCCTCAAACCACTCCCCTCTTTCTCTCTCTACAATAATATAAATCTATGTAAATAGTAAGATTCATCTTTAAATGCATGTATAGTTTATAAAATTGTATTGATAATTCTCATTATTGCCAAAAGATGGCCGGGTTAAATCAGAATGTCATCAGAGGATGGTCGAAACAGATTAGAACATTATCAAAGTAGGTTGGAACGTCACTAGAAGATAGGCGAACGAAACTTCACTGAAGCAAGTCAGAACGTCGCTAGTGGATGGCCAGAGCAGATCAAAACGTTTTCGGAAGAAGATCAAGGCAAATCAGCACGTTGTTTGAGGATGGTCAAAACATATCAAAATGTCGCTGGAGGATAGGCGAAACAGATCCAAACGTCATTGGAGGATGGTCAAAACAAATCGAAATGTCACTAGAGCAAGTCAGAACATCATCAGAAGATGGTTGTGCAAATCAAAATGTCACCGAATGATGGCCGAAACAAACCAGAACATTGCCGAAAGATGGGCGAAGCAGATTAAAAGATCGCCGAAAGATGACCAGAAAGCCGTTGGAGAATGATCGGAAGGTTGCACAAGGGTATGGTCGGAACGTTGCTGGAAGAAGATTGTAAAGTCGACGGAGAACTACTGAAAGAG